GATGACGAAAATTCTCAGAATGCTCCCCAAATGGAGAAAGTTTCGTTGGAGGAATTACAACAGAAGGGAAAGGCTTTAGCATGTAATTTCAAAAGCATCTCATTTTCTTTTTTTTTATCGGACGTCCATAAATTTGCTGGATTTCAGCCAAATTATTCGTGTATGCGAAAGACACAACAACAAAGGCAAGCAAGGGCATTGCGGCAGTGAAAAATGCAGTGGTTGAGAATGTAAGCGTAAACAAAAAATCATTCATACTGTTTGTTTCTCTTTCTCTCATCGTAAGACGCTTGTTCTGTAAGACTAGGCTGAGAGTAAAGCATTGCTTATTTGTTGAGAACAGTGTTTACAGACGCTTATTGGAGAGTTGGACCGTGAGCAAGAAGCATTTGCTGCGGAACTAGCTGCCAGTCGTCTACCAGATGTTGTTGAACCTTGGGACGGTTTACCTGACCGTGATTTTGCAAAGAAAAAAATCTTGGCACTCTCTCTGGTATGTTCACCAGTTTGGCTCGATTGATCATTTTTTGCTATAGTTGTGATCTCTTCCTGCCTACTTCACATATCCATTCCAGAACTTTCAAAATTAGCAGTGCTTGTTTATGATCGATTTTCTATTATGTCGTGTTGTTGTTTTTTTCCTATTAAGAAAGAAAGAAGTTTGGCCTAGCAACGATAGCGCGTAGTTTCACTTTGTGAGACAATGTACATTTGTATGCCAGTTATTGGCTGTAAGTTTGCTATCCACATTCACATTTTTCGGTTTAGGATCACCACAACTTTATTCGTGAATCGCCTGGAGAATGCGAGTTTGATGAAGCCACAATGCAAGCTATGGCAAAGAGACTTGTAGAAGTCGATCCCAATCTAAGCCGTGTTCGCTTCGAACTTGTTCCTAAACAGTCAGTGAATTAGAATTTTTTTTTATCATGATCGCTGATGTGTCCACTCAGATTGAATGAAGAAAAGTTCTGGCATAACTACTTTTATCGAGTCTCTCTTATAAGACAGTCGTTAATGACAAATGCATCGGATGTACAGACACCTGTTCGGAAAGCATCTCCTGCACCGATAGAGACGCCTTCTTCAAGCGAGGTTTGTTTTTTAGCATGAATTTCCCTTATTATTTCTTCATATACATGCGTCGATAGTAATGTCAAATAGTCTACATATACAGCAACAGCGTAATTGCTCTTAAACTTGAACATATTATCATTTTGAACAGAACTGCTTACACATTTTAAAAGCTAGAATACTTTGAAATCGGGCAGTGGAAATTTCTAGAAAAATTCTGCTTACATTTGCGCGAGAATTTTTTTCTTTCAAAAAACTTTACGAGGATCTTTTACCACATATTAAAGGCCTCGGAAAAGGATTCTAATGATAATGATATAGAAGTTTTAGTTACAGGTAGATAAGGCATCAACAAATGTAAGTAATCCTGAACCTGTCATTGAGGACACTGCTCACGGTGATGATAAAACGCCAAGTGATGAAACGAATCCGCAACCAGGTAAATTTCATAGCCTTTTAACATTTGGATTAGGGGCTTCTCCCAGTACGTTTACCAAATTGAAAATTCCGTGGATCATTTTCATTACTTGTTGGTTTCCTCATCGTTCTTTGTTAATTGATCTTGCATCGGTGTTACGCGACTGTTTCAAGTGTTTATAGAGGATGATTGGGAGCGCGAGATTCTGTCCGATCTGAACGAATATGAATTGGTTGCCTCCAGAAACGAGAAATCCGAAGAACAATGGGAAGCGGAAATCCAGGATTTGCTAAACTCTA